CAAATGATGATGAAATGAAAGAATGAGATGCACCAAAGTCAAACAAAATACGGGCCTAACAATCAAACACTGGAAATATACCTCGAAGAACTGACGATCCAGAAGATGCATCGGTCTGTGCCAGTGCAAAAACACGTCCCTATGGTACCTGTGCTTGAAGACTGCCAACCTGAACACCTGACTGCTGCACTGACATAGTAGGAGTATCCCTCCTAACTGACCGTGAACCCTGTGAAGACATGGCAGGCTGTGATGGTGGCGGTCTGAAACCTGACTGAACTGTAGCCGATTGAGACGGCCTCTGTCGTGACCCCCTGCCACTACCTGTGCCTGCTCCCTGGCCTAGACAATCACGAATCAAGTGACCCTGCTGGCCACACCCATAACAAGCCTTCGGAGCTGACGAAACTGAAGACGATCTCATCGGACAACTGGACTTGTAATGCCCAGGCTGCTGACACTGATAACAAACAACTGCACTCCTGTCAGATCCAGCTGGCATAGGAGTGGTAGGAGCAGATCTTGTAGACTGTTGTCCCTGAAACTGAGATGAACCACCCTTGTTCTTCTTCCAAGAAGATCCCTCTGAAGATAGCCCTACACCCCTCTTTTGCTTCCATTGTTCTCTTCTTGCATCTTTCTCTTTATTATCAGCCTCCAACATCAAAGCCCTTTTCACTGCTTCAGAATAAACCTTAATGAACTGTGCCATGATCAACGACCTCATCCGATCATTAAGACCTGAAACAAACTTCCGAGTCTTATTAGCTTCATCTCTCACCACTTCTGGAGCAAAACAGGAGAGTGAGGTGAACTTGTTCTCATACTCCGCCACTGACATGTTCCCTTGAATAAGATTATGAAACTGGTCTTATAACTCCCATCTTTTGGAAAGCGGAAAATACTTCTCATAAAACAGCTCCTTGAACCTGTCCCAACTCATCTCTTCAATCTTGTACTGGTTGGTGATCGACTTCCACCAAACCTTGGCATCCATAGCAAACTTGTAAGTTACTAGGATGATCTTCAAGTGATCCTCTGTCACATCCATTGAGGTTAGTTGGGTTTCAACTTGATCCAAGTAGTCATCTGCTACCATTGGATCCGCACTGCCCTCAAACACTACCGGCATCAACTGAGAAAACCCTTTTATGATCTTGAGACGCTTCTGAGCTGCCGTCTCCTCAACTTGAACTGTAGGTTGTGGTGCCGACTGCGACTGAGCAGCAATCGTTGCCCTCACGACATTTTGCAACAAACGATTAAACTCCAGTGCCACAGAACCTCCACCCACTTCTACGGGTACGGGTGTTTCAACATTCTCTCTTCTTGGGGGAACAGCTCTTGGGGGAATCAAGTCCCTAAGAAGCATGTTCTCATCATTTAGCTCCTCCGGATTGGAGCTGGAGCTCTCACTAACATCACCCCTTGTTGGCCTAGGGCCAACTTCTCTAGGTTCCTCACGCCGTGACATCGTGCTATAAAACGAGAAAACGATTCAGAAACATGACACTAAGACTGTGGACGACTTAACAAGAATTGATACCGTACAACACTTAGCATGCAAGACTATGCAAGAAACATTTTAACATAAACAAGTAAGTAGTAAGCACATAGGCAGTTAAGCATGCTCATTTAAGTAAAATATCACATAGCAAATAGTCAAGTAAGCAACACAATCAACATTCCATATGACCCTAAGTAGGCCTCTACTCGCCGTCCTAAAGGTTTTCGAACCTTTGCTCTGATACCAAATTTGTAACGACTCAAAACTAATACTTTTTAAACAAAAAAAATTCGGCATGACCTCCCCTAAAAATAGGCCTATCACAACCTGTTTAATTGCATTTTTAACCTGTCATGGCTCAAATTCCGAATTCACGGCAACAAAAGATAATGATACAACCAACTAATCTAGACAATGCTTCAAACTAGGATTATCCATCTATTCATCAACAAGTTGCATACTATCAAATCCCCATCCAAAACATCATCAATACTTTAATTGTATTACATGACAAAGTTCCACAAAATAATTATACATCTTTGCACTTCTAGTGTTTTACAAAATAATGGGGAATATACAAAGATACAAAAGTGGACTTCTAACGCCGTTCAAGCTTGAGGTGGGTTGTCATCCACCAGTTCCTTTCCAAGACCTGAAAAAAATATATATAGATATAGGGGTGAGCATATAGCTCAGCAGGTGACACTTAAGACACAATTCTTGTGTCCTAGTGAATCCAAATAAAGCATAGGCCAATGGGAGATTGGGGACATGCATTAAAGGGGAAAAATAATTACAAGTACAAGTCAAATTCAATCACACACAAATGCAAATGGAGTGAGATGCAATGCATGCTAAAGTCACTACCCGTTTTCATTCTCAAAACCATCACGTTCAAAGTTAATGTAACCCCCTTTGGTAACCCCGCCGCGACGAGAGGAGGATTGGCTACCGTCCCTAGGCCCTTGGTGACCCCGTGGCGCCGTCGAGGGGCCCGAATAGCTCAACCATGCTAGGGTACTCTCCCTAGTCCTCCCTAGGCTACATTAACCTCCGGCCCGTTGGTAACCCCGCAGCGACCGGGTTTGTCAAAACCAATTTTTTTCCAAAACATTCATTCCCAAATCCCAATTTTCATTTCAAGACAACCACTTCCCTTTTTCATGCAACCCAATGAGATGTAGGCTTATGTCATGATCTCAATATAATGACAAATGGGAACTTAGCACAATAATAAATAAGCATGTTCTCATGGCATCATTATAGCATGTTAGTAACCTCAAAAAAAAATGTAAACAACCATCACATAGACATACTTTTCATTCAACCATGTTATACACATTTACATAACTAGCATATTGTCAATTAAATCATTTTAATCAAAATCAACAACAATTAAACATGCTATGACACACATAGAGGAGCATGATTCATTATAGAGCAAGATTCCATGGCTTAAGATGTCCCTACCTCACAATCCAAGCCGAAATCCCTAGAATAAGTCCTCCAAATTCGAGCTCCAAGGAAGACTCAAATCTGGAAATTGATAGTATGGATGCGTAGAGCTCGCTACAAGCTTCGTTTCGCCTCAAACGGTTCCTAAATCCGATGAAAGATGATTGAGTAATCAAACCTCAAAATATTATCTCCAAAATGAAAGAAAAAGAGAAGGAACCGAGAGGGAGAGAGAGCATACGGGAAAGAGAAAGAAAATGAGAAAGAAAAGAAGATTTCTTGGCCAAATAAGTTAGTGGTGGGCCCCACTTGAAATTATTTTCCTTTTCTCTTTATTTTTTTGTCTCTAATTATACCACAAATACACAATTGCACCATACAAATGCTACATCACCACATAAATTAAAATGTAGGAAATGTAACTGGACCCAACCACAAACCCAGATGGTAAAGTGAAAAGACGAAAATGCCCTTGCATTAACGAATTTTCAGAAAATTCGTTAATGCTGAAAATTAGAATTATCACATGTTATTATAATTATACCTATGGGTTGTAACTTTTGTATGAGCTGTCTAAATGTTGTAAAATATGGACATTTGATATTAATCTTATATTTTGGGACTGTAATTATGATATTTGGATGATATAGTATGTGGTTGTACTACTATGAAATGAACTAAGTTAAGGCATGGTGAATGGATGAAAGGGATGTTGGAATGTATTATATGTTTCTTGTGCTAGGACATGTTAAAAATGCATTTAAACAAGTTATGGTAAGCCCATTTTTTAGGGGAGGTCATGCCGAAATTTTTTTTTAAATGGTATCAGTTTAGGATCGTTACAATTTTTTAGAAAATATTTTTTTATTTTTTGGTGTTTGGTTGTCGTAAAATATTTACAAAGAAAAAAAATATTAAAATTTAATAAAAAATTTTGGCAAGTTATTTTATATGCCCCGATCGATTGACTCGGCCTCAACTTTAGTATAGACTTTTGCCAAATACGGATACAATAAAAATAAAAAAATATTTTACCTGAAAAAGAAAAATATTTTTCAAACATCCAAATAAAGGGAGCCTAGATGATCCGAAAAAGCGGCAGATGATGTAGAACATTACATGGAAAGTGAATGTTTCTAACATTGGCATACAAGAATACACATTATATAAGTTTGGACCCACCGCCTTGTTTTTATTAACTTTGTATAAAAATTTCTTTAACCATTGTTGTTCAAAACAGAACAGCAAAGGGTAAGTTTAAGCGTAAAGGCAGGGAGAAGGACGATGCCAAAGAAAAGAGGAAGGGAGAGTCGTCCAATAAAATGCGTAATGATTTTGTTGCCAAATGCAATGTTTGGAGCCGGGATTGCCAAATTTTATCACCTCCAGTGGATTCTCATCTTGGTGATTGTTGTACATCAATGTCCCTATGTACCTACCACCAGAAGAGGAGTCAAATGCATCAATCGAAAACTGCTCTTGAAAACAAAAAAAAAAAGAAATTTTATAGATTTAGGTGATACACACACACACAACATTTAAAATATATCACATTCCAATCTGCAATGTAATTTTTTTAAAACGTAGCTCGAAATTGTTTGAATTTTTTTCCAGAAATGAAACGAGAAGTTATCTAGAGATTTAGGTGATATAGAAATTACCCTTTTATATTGTTTTTTTTGGTGCTCCTGCATAGCTTGAAAATTTGGGAATCCGTTATTCTACGAATTTGATCCAATTAAATCTGTTACCTCATGAATCCGTAACGGATTCATATTTTTTCAATTCGTTGAGATCGGATCGAATTAGGATTGATGCCTAATTTGACCCAATTTGTGATCAGCTTAAAAATTTAATCTCATATATGAAGTTATGTATTAGAAGTTGAAAGTTAGATCTAAATTTTGGCAATCAATCTCGTATATGCAACAAAGAATCTTAAAGCCACGGTTATGATGTGGGCTGAAATTTAGTTCAACCAACGTGCAAACAATTTAGTTCGAGTCAACGTGCAACCAATTTAGTTCGAGTCAAATTCAACAATGCACAATTTTGACCAAGAAAGGGTTAGAATCGTGGTCACATACTGGACTACCCAAAACCTGAGTCTAGTATTGCTAAGCCATATTTGGCAACCTAAAAATAGGAACTTACAAAGGAAAAAATTAAAAAAATATGAACTTTTACTATTGCACCAACAATGAGCCTCACTTATCAATATACACGAGTAGAAACACCCACATTACAGAAACAGGGGAAGGAACACACACACACGCATAAAAGTATTATCTACCATTTATCGCACTAATTGTTACATCATTTGAGGATACAATGTCTCGACTTTCCTTCCAAGATTCATCCATGTCTATAGAGCTTCTTCTCATTGAAGTAAAACTCGGTCGTCTCGGCATCTGCATACTTGTACTTTGACCCTCCAACATCAGCAACACAGACGACATTATTGGTCTGTCAAATGCCATGTCCTGCACACACAACATCCCTACTTGTATGCATCTCAACACTTCATTTTGGCAACATGAATCTGCAATTGAAGGATCAATCATCTCCATTGCTTTATCACCATCCCATAAGTCCCATGCCTGAAACATTTCCAACATTTTGTCAAATTACACAGACTAAACAGAAAATAAAAAAATAAAAAATAAAAAAGATTATGTATAGACTTACATATCCAATAATATTTGAGTGTTCGGGTGAACGAAAACTAGTGTTTCTCCGGCCGGTTATAATCTCTAGTATTAATACTCCAAAACTATACACATCAGACTTGACAGAAAATAGACCTTCCATTGCATACTCGGGAGCCATATAGCCGCTACATTTTACAAGTGATCGTGGAATTCAAGTTAGCAAATCTTTGAGGAAAAAAGATAAGAGTGATTTTCCATAAATAAGAAAATTTATGATACTTACTATGTTCCAACAACTCGGTTTGTATTGGCTTCATTTTGGTTGCCTCCAAATATCCTAGCCATGCCAAAGTCTGAAATTTTCGGGTTCATCTCTTCATCCAACAAAATGTTACTCGCCTTAAGATCTCTATGAATAATTCTAAGTCTTGAATCTCGGTGAAGATATAGGAGCCCTCGCGCAATCCCTTCGATTATTGTAAAGCGTTTCCTCCAGTCAAGTCGCGCTTGCTTAGCAGTGTCTGCAGCCATAGCATTCATCAAAATAAGAAAACAAATGGTATCAAAATGAACTTTTTTCTTTTGAAGCGTATATAAGCATTGTTTCCACAGAGAATATTAACAAAGTGAGAGAAGTACTAACCAAAAAGAATTGTATCCAAGCTCTTGTTAGACATGTATTCATAAAGAAGCATCTTTTCTTCTCCTTGAATGCAGTATCCAAGAAGTCTAACAAGATTTCTGTGTTGTAATTTGGCAATTAGTGTAATCTCATTCTTGAACTCCTCCAAGCCTTGTCCAGACTTTCTTGAAAGCCTCTTTACAGCTATTTCTTGTCCCCATGGCAACTTTCCCTGTTAAGCATTATAAAAGTTAGCAACACTCTAGAGCATTCCAATACACAATTAACCTTCAAATTTTACCAATTTTTCGTAGAAAATTAAAGAACATACCTTGTAGACAGGGCCAAATCCACCTTGTCCGAGCTTGTTTTCATTTGAAAAATTGTTTGTAGCTAATGCCACAGTATTAAAATCGAGGAATGATAATTCTGCTCCGCTTACATGCTGCCCTTCAACTCTAAGGTCATCCGGTCCAGAAAGATCTGTCGAAAGTTCCTCACTTCTGCGTGCATAAAGCATCGGTAACTCATTGTTCTTCTGCGATGGATTCAAGAATGCTGTAATGGAGAATCAAGAATTAGCATAAACAGTCAAGATAATTAACAAAATAACAGTACAATTTTCATTTGACTTTCTAAAATTTACCTTTCAATTTTGCTCCGAACCTCCATAATAGCCAAATGGTTACACATAGAAAGAATGCGCCCACCACCACTGTTGCAATTATTACAAATTTGGTTATTTTTCTCCCACCACCTATGATAGAAGAGAAACAAATACAAAAGTCATTATATTGTTTATAATTGAACAATTAGAAGAATCAAAGAACTCTAGCTTGTTCCACAAGAAAGCAAAAACTATTTGAAAAAGGTCAATTCATGAGAAATTTCTGATATATAGATATCCTATTATGCTATAGTTCTAATCAAGTATATTCATGAGAAATTTCTGAAATTTATCCTATTCTCCCTAATGGAGGTAAAAATATCTCTTAAATGTTAGAAATTCTAACAGCAGCAAAAAGTATATTCATGAGAAATTTCTGATATTTATCCTATTCTTCCCATAGGAGGTAGAATATGTCTTAAATGTCAGAAAGCCTAACGGCAGCAAAAATTATTATATGATATAATGAAAATTCAAAATGCTAACAACAGCAGTGACATATACAATTGAAAGTTTCATCTTACCTAATTCAGAATTCGCGAGACGAATGTAGAGCGTGTTCCCACCATCTGCAAATTGCTGAAGATCAACCAAATCCCCACTCCACATCATGCAGCTGATCCCACTTACATATGCATATGCTTTACATGAACAATTGTTCAGACACATATCTCTGCAAGCATTGATATCATCTGATCCCACGTAGTCCACAAAGTCCGGTAACTTCATCCCATCAACCTCGACAAATCCATCTTCTTCCCCATTCCCTCCCTCGATTAGGCTGCTATTCGTCTCACACTGCAATTGTGTCCTCCTAACACACCCACCTGACCAATTCCCTCTATTCCACTGATCCAAGTCTTTTGCTACAAACCCTTCAATACAACTGCATATAGAAGATCCATTCACATAACATTTCCCGAAAGTCCCACACTTGTTGTACTCTCCACATACATTATCAGGCTGCGATTGTATCAAACTCCACTTCATTTCATCTTCTTCCCACATTAGCTGCTCCTCATGTCCATCCGAAGTTATCAGAAACCTTACAATATCGGAAGTATTTGACAACGTATACGTAAAATACATGTTACCATCTCCCTTATCAAAAAGCTTAAAACCATACAGATAGAGGGCATTCATGGAAGGAACACCTGTAAACATTAGTCCATTCCAATGGCCACTTCTCCAATGTCGAGTCTGCCCCTCCCATATCACAATCTGTGGCGATCCACGCGGATCAACGCCCATTGAGTACCTCCCAGGGGAAGGATCATTCTCACTTCTCCAAGAAGTGAAAACATGGTTCTCCCCGGTATCAACATTCATGTGGACTTTCATGTCAGGCAAGTAAGTGTCTGTTGGATCGTCGAAGCTCTGCCACAAGGCCTTTGCAGCGTCACCAACACTGTCGTTGCTCGAGAGAATAAGATTACCGGTACTACTCATAAGAATTGCAGTGGAAGAGTTACCGGACACAACTGATGCATTACTCGACCAGACTGAACTGCCATTTCCATCTAAAACCATTAGGTTACCGTTGTTTCCGATCGTAAGAACACCATCTTTGCCGGAGATTGGATTCTCTCTGTTAGCAACCCATATGAAAGATTGTGTTGGAATTTTGTTGTACCAAATTCCGACATACCTGAAGGTAGAATTTCCAGGACTAAAGAACCCCAGGACGAATCTTTGATCTGCCGAGGTAATGTTTTCGCCATCTTTTATTGATTGGCCCTGTGAAAGTGTATCTGCTGCAAAGCAGAATGAAGAAAGAGAACACAAGATGAAGAAGAAAAGAGAGCTTAGAAAAAAAGGAGTTGGGTTTCTGAAATTGATGCCCATCATACAATCTGAATGTGGACTGTGTGTGGATGGAGATTCATCTAAAGAATAGAAATGAGTTTTAAGAAAGAAGAAACCATGAACCTGTGAATTCAAGGTAGTTGCTGATGGCCATCCTTTATTTGTTTACTAATGATTTTGATGTAAGTTTGAGAAAATTGACCACAAACTTTTGTTGAACATTATTAGTTGACTATGTACCAAAAGAGAAAAAAAAAAACTTAGTTGACCAGTCTATTTTGCATTGTTGTTTTAATTCTAAGCCACCATAACAACAGAACATACACTTTGAAATTGGTTAGGTATATGTCAAGAAAATTGAATTCCAAAAGTTGAAAACATGTCACAACTATAAATGCAAAAACATTTAATTTTTTTTTTATTTTTTAGGAAATGAGTTAATACCTCATTGGAGGGAAAAAGTGGGGATATTTAATGCCTTTGTATGGAAATTTATATATGAAGTATAATGATGTGAATGAAATCTAGTGAATTAAAATCATTGGATTTCATTACAATCTCTTAGAGTAGAAGATAGATATAAATTTAATAGTTGGTAGGATTTGGTAAGGTTACCTTCCTAAATTAGGTTCATTACCATCTATGATATGATGTATTGAATTTAAATCTCCAATTGGAGCATTAATTGATTAAAAATGCTAAAGATCACAAAAGGAATTGGGTGATTTTATCTTAATTGACTACTTATCCAGCTAGATTCCATGTGCAATGAATTAAAATATCCAGTCATTTCTATGAGTTTCTTAAATATTTCAAAGATTTTTAAAAATGCTTGACCACATTAATTTTCATAGCCGTTACATGTTTTTTTTTTTTTTGGTAATTATTATTGCCCTTCATTAAACAATATAAAATACATTCACTCAAGTTTCAAATTCTCAATCATTGTCTTGGATACCTAATTTTTTTTTTATCATTTTTAATCCTAAGTACTAATTTCATGCTACTAAACACAACATTACTTTTTCTTTTATTAAATGTTTTTTGAGAGGCGATATCCGCACTTCACTTTTCAATGTTTGCACTACAATCTTAAATGGAATGACAATTCTAACACTAACTTTATAAGTCTCTCATCTTTATTAGGTCTCTTTTAACAAGACAAAAAATTAATTGAATAATTGAATAAAATATATATATATTTTTTAATGGGACCAAGAAATAAAAATTTATGTTGAATAAATTGACTCTTTTGACCGAACCAAAAAAAGAAAAAAAAAAACAAAGTAATCGTTAAAAAATTTATCACTTATGACATGAAAAAAAAAAAAGCCTGAAAAAAAAAATATTTCTCGAAAAAAAAAAAAGTATGAAAAGAAGATGATTAAATTTTTTTTATCTATTTTGAATAAATTATCTCTTTTGATAAAAAGAAAAAAATATATATTTTTATCTAATAAATTATTTCTTTTGATAGGAGTCACAGTACCCATAAAAAATAATTAAAAAAGTTAATTTTGTTGAATAATATCCCTTTCAATAGTACCAATATATATATATATATATATATATATATATATATATATATATATATATATCATTATGGAATAAATTATTTCTTTTGACCGTCAAAAATTAAATGATTAGTATGAAATAAATTATTTTCTTTGAAAGGACCTTTGAAAAAAACAAATAGAAAGAAAAAAAAAAAAAAAAAGTAAATAAAGTGAAGAAGGTAAAAATATGTTAAGGTTGAATAACTGATAGTTATGACATTATAAATTAAGTGATAGTGCATTAATGAATTTAAAAAAAAAATTTGTCAATTTTTTTTCAAAAAAAAAAATTAATAAATATAGTACAATTAGAAAATAGTGAAGTGTAAATATTATTTTATTTTATTTTATTTTCTCAAAAATGCGAATGTAAATTACCCAAATTTGAAGTTAGTTTGTGTGTCATTCAAGTACTTTGCACAATGTTGCAGAGAAAAAGTGGTGGTATATTTGTATGAGAACTAAGAAGTCAACGACTTGGAAGAGAGATTCCATATTTAAATCCTTCGACAAAATTTCACTCACTAATAGATGCTATATTTTCTAATGTTGTTTTAGGTCCGAGAAGTCGACTAAGTAGAAAAGACATTTTAATGTAAAGTTTTTAATTCTTTACATCTATTAATTTAATTTTTAACACTTTTAAATTTAAAAAAAAAAAAAAAAAATTAAAGCCTTCAACAAAATCTCATTTAATACGTATTTTAATTTTAATTTTCAAGACGACGGTAAAATTTAAATACACCATCTTGTGATCCGCTCTATTGTATAAATACCATCTGTTTCATTGTCTAAATATTGTTTGCTTTGTACATCTTTTATACTTACAATTTTCAAAATGCGTTTACACGAAAAATTAGAAGCAATCCACGCATATAAGTGTCAACAACTATTTTCTCACTCTCGAAGTGATGTGAGACGCCACACATCTACTAAAAAAAATTAAAATTATTAAAAGTATGTAATTTTAATATTTAAATCATTTAAAATGTCTATATGACATAATAAGATTGATTAATTTTCATATTATATATTTTCTAAAAATTCTCATTATTATTATATATGTATTGTCTCCTAATAAATGTGCTCAATTGCATGTATAACATGAGGAATTGATGCAGGTATAAAAAATGTTTCTTGGGCAATGTGCATTTCAAGCTCTCTTAAAATCAAAGAAATTAGAAGACAAAAGTTGAAGGATGTGGAGAGATAGAACCATCAACAAGATAATTAATCATTTAAAAATAGGTTTTCAATAAAAGAGAGTCTTTGGAAATGACTTGTGTCCAATTTGGACCGTCCAAAGTTGCTAGTACTTTCATGAAGCTTGTAACATGAATTTTGGAGCCATTCAAATGTGGTGGCCAGAAAAAGTAGTTAGTTTTATATTAAAATCCATTGGGAAGAATATTAAGTAAAGTCATAGCACGTGGGGGGGGGGGGGGGGAGGTGGGGGGTCCATCTGTGCTTTTGAATTTGGACTCCACCTTGTGGGCATCTTCAATGTCAAGGGTTGGGAATCAAGGTGGGTTGGGAATCAAGGTGGTGTCATTTCTCAATTATTTCACTAATTTTATTTTATTTTATTGTGAAATAAGTGAGGCTGATGTGAAAAATATTAAGTAAAATCCATTAAGTAAAGTCATAGCACGTGGGGGGGGGGAATTAAGTAAAATCCATTAAGTAAAGTCATAGCACGTGGGGGGGGGGGGGGGGGGGGGGGGGGAGGGTCCATCTGTGCTTTTGAATTTGGACTCCACCTTGTGGGCATCTTCAATGTCAAGGGTTGGGAATCAAGGTGGTGTCATTTCTCAATTATTTCACTAATTTTATTTTATTTTATTGTGAAATAGGTGAGGCTGATGTGAAAATATTTTTATTTTTACCCCTTACATATATCACTGTTTTCAATTTCAAAATTAAAAATCAACAGTTTAGTAACCAAACGATATTAGGTCCTTACCTTTTAAAAAATAGTTAAAGGTTTAAGGCAAAGAAAAATATAAAAAATTACAAAGTTTACCGTTTGTCACTAAAAAAAATAAATTCTGAAAACAAGAAACTGTTTTAATGAATAGTTATCTCTAAAAATTAAATTTCGTGAAACAATTCTAAAAAGCTCTCAACACACATTTTTCTAATTTTCAATTCTAAAAAAAAAATTAAAAAACTAATATCATCCTCGAATTGAGATGTTTTTTTAACACTAATTGATGAATGGTTTTTTTAAAAAATATTATCTTAAATCTTTTATATTCTCAATAAGAGAGTGCCTTTCTCAGAAATAGTACCCCATGATGTTGAACGATGATTAAAAAACTGAAACTCAAATAGTTTCATGGCCATAAAACGCGTCATGATTCAATCAAGGACGGGAGAGATTTTGAGCTAGAGAAGCCAAATCAATTTTCTTTTAAGTATGAGGATAAGATTTACGTTTTTTTCCTTCTAATGAATGCCTAACATGCTTTTTGTTTAAAAAATTAAGGCAACATGATAAAAGTTTTCAACATGATGACGATGAGAGAGAGAGAGAGAGAGAGAGAGAGGAGAGAGCCAGAGAGAACTTAAATTTAAGGGTCCTTGGATCCGTTTGGGGATGACTGTTATTTTGTATTTTTATTTTGACTTGAAATAGAATTAATGTCTCCGTTCTAAAGTGTGTATATTATTTAAAAATTTATTTTGTAACGTAAATTTGTTACAAAATTTTTAAAAGTAAAAATATAAAAACATGTTTGATAAAAAATGTTGTAAGTTTGAAAATTTGAATAGTTGGTTAAAAATATTATTTTAGATTTTTTTTTTTGAAGCAATGATACCGTACATGAACAAACAAAAGTATCATTTTAATATTTTCAATTTTGACCTCAATTTTGGAAGGGTTTTGGTACTATTCAAATAACAGCAAATATTACTAAACATGCGAAAGTAATGTTTCGTGCTTTTGCTTCACTATAGTATACTAACAAAAACAAAAAATACAAAATAAAAGCATTAATCAAGCCCTTGCGTATTTTCTACTAAAAGAATGAAAAGTATTGGGCCGAGTCTACTAGAAGGATGGTGCCAAGTTAAAAAAAATGGAAAATGTGTTTTAGTCAAGGTGGAAGCTTAAAATCCAGACAACTATTTGACACTTTGCCTCCTTTTGAGGGATCTAAGACCAATTTGGTTTGCTTTCATATTATATACAATTCCCATACTCGAGTTCAATATATCCTTAAATTTAATCTAAATTGCAAATACAATTTTGTTGCGTTTGTTTGAGAATATTGAATCGGTACTTTCGATTTAGAATTAAAAAAAAAAAAAAATTTATTCAAGTAAGGAATAGACGCTTTAAAATTATAAAATGAATAGAATTTTAGTTTAAATTCTAAATGTATAATTTTTTTTTTTTTAATTTTAAGGTCCTAATTCAATGTTTCCAAACATATTATTTTTAAAATTAGATAAAAAAAAAATAATAAAAAAAAATACTATCACTTGCTTTTTTAAATTATGCCTCACCCTTTACCTTTCACTAACTTCGTTTGACATACGTTTTGTTTTAGACATTTTGTTTTGGGGTAAAACAAAAACATGAAAATGTCTTAAATAGAAACATGAACAATTATGGTTTTGGACCATGAATAATAGTCAAAACAAGAAAAAATAATTTTTTGGCATTTTGATTTTGGATTACTGTTCACGAAATATTTTAGCACCGTGTAAAATAAAACAAGGTCGTATCAAATATGCTTTTGTTGTCAAAATCGACACTATAATTACCCAACAACAAAAATAACAGAAATCAAAAGCATACCAAATAAGACCTAAATGTTTTGATTTAAGAGTCAAATTCAGTCTCCATGTGCTCCACGATGAATCTTACTTATTGCTGAATTAATTTCAGTCCCATTCGTGATACAAAGCTGGTAGAATTGCATCTATGGTTAGAATATTGACTTTGGTGAGACTTAGTCAATTATGACATTAAAACAATTAACCGATAAATAAATAAAATAAAATAAAAAACATTAAAATAACTTTCAAATGGCCTACCATAGACATTATAATAGAACTGTAATATCAGCTAATATGACCTGCGCGTACACGGTTTTACCATTATATCCAATTTTTACTTTTATAAATATATAAACACACTTGTTATGCCAATTTGGACTGTCCAATGTTCAAAGTACTTCCACAAGTAGGCTCTGTACATCGAATTGGATGGATATTCAAGTTTTATAGTCACCCCACGTGGAGTTATAGTAGAGCAGGTGGTCTTATACCTTATTAAAATCAAAATCAAATGTGATAATATATATATATATATATATATATATATATATATATGTGCAACCAATAAATTAACCTTAATAAAGAAAACAATAATTAATAAACAAAGTTGTCCCAAGTGGGGAATGTTGTTTGTGGCAAAACATGGTCTGCTTGGGATTTGGACTGTTGTTGGAGGCATTGACATGGCTTCAATTAATTTTTCACATCAAAGGTTGGCGGGCCAACCTCAAAGATTCTCAACATACAAAATGAGGAATACAAAGGTTGTGCCCTAAGTTGAATAAAACATAAAACATAAAACAGGAGTGAGAGAAAATAGTAAAATTTAAACGACACAATGTGAAGTGAGAGTAAAAACATGCGTAGAGTGTGAGAGTACTAACACACAAAAAGTAGAAGTGGCACCATTTAAAAAAAAAAAAAAAAAATTGTGTTAATTTAAGTTGGGTGAAGTTGTATTGATATTTCTTTGATTAGTTGCATATGACTCTCTAATTATAAATTCATAAACTATACTTTTTAATATATAATTATCTTGCAATATAAAAAATTTGGAAGACAAACTATCTAAAGATTGAAAACATTTTTCAAATTCAAATTTACCCTTAAGATTAGTTGTATAAAACCCCTCTAAAATATGCATATTACCATACGACATGCAAATTCTTATGGTTCCGAAAGAGTTTGTGCAATTAATTTTAAGGGTGATTTAGGAAATTTTAATACAGATCAACCATGTGGTTGATGTTATTTTCTGATGATATGATTTTAATAGATGAAATTGCAGAAGGGATGGATGTTAAATTAGAGGTTTGAAAGGAAACTCTAGAATTAAATGAATTTAATATATGTAGTATAAGTTTACTTAATATAAAAGTGAAAATAGGGATGATTGAGAAAAGAGATACTAAATTGAAAGTTTCTGTTGTTTGAGCTCAATTATTCCACAGAGTGAAAGAGAAATTGAAGAAAATATTAATCATAAGGTCAAGGTTGTATGACTTAAATGGAGAATCATCTGCAATATTGTGTGATCAATCTGTCCCCTTTAACATTGAAATTAAAGTGTTATTTATTTGGACAGAATTTTGGGCAGCTAACAAGGATACAAAGTGACACAAGCAAAAATGTGAATGTTGAGATAAATATGCAAAACAGAACAACCCACAAGAGAAAAAAACAGAGCAAAACAGAGCAAAATCAGGGGCATGAACAAAATCACACTCAATGGCTGCCATCAACCAAGCTGGCCAGACATCCCAAAACAAATCACCAGCTTTACGCTTAGGGCGCCAATTTACAGAGAGCGTGAGCGACTCCATTCAATGAGCAAGAGGACCATTTGAGAACAAACTGAAAAGATGAAACCAAAACTTTCACATTTTCCAGAACAATTGCAACAAGAGGATGCTGGGGGCCAAGATAGCAAACCGACTGACAATCGCCTGCAATTCCCACATCAGAATAGCCCAAGCCAGTAAGGAGCTTTAAGCTCATCCGCATTCAGAACATTCTGAAAAAAGATAGTTCCAACTTTGATTGGAAGGCCATTGTGGTCTCTCAGAATCATTCCTCCACCACCATCGGAGAATCCAGAATCAAATGAAGCATCATATTTGACAATATTTACACTCCCAAGTGTTTGTTCTGTTACTCAAAACTTCACTTTAATGCCATCACAGGAACATGTTCTTCATAGTCCTTAAATTGTATGAGGATCAACTTTCTTGTACCTAAATTATACAGTCAAATAACTTCATTGATGTGTTCACATGTACACATGGAATTGGGAAAATTAATGCTTTCATACCACCAATCCAAAAGACACCATAAATGTTGCATTCGTACAAATGGCCTATAAGATCAATAAATGATGTAGTACAATAAAAAAGGGAAACAAAATTTACCTTCCAATTACACCTGTAACTGTTACATCATTTGAGGATGTAATATCATTATCATGACCTTCTTCAACTTCTTCACCTTCTTCCATATCCATCTCTCCAGAGACACTCAATGAAGTAAAAGTGGGCTGTTTAGGCATTGGAATTTTTGCATTTTCACTCTCCAACATTAGTACCACAGAAGACATGTTTGGTCTATAAACTGCAGACTCTTGCACACACAATATCCCCACATGTATGCATCTCAAAACTTCATCTTCAGAGCATGAATCCACAATGGAAGGATCTATCAGCTCCATTGATTTACCATCATTCCATAGCTTCCATGCCTGAAAACATTAAAAATAACTAATTATACACAGAAAATTATGTGTTTTTTTATCTTGCTTCCTCGGTGAAGTTATAATCTACTTCTAGGGCATTAGCCCAATTGATATAACCTCCCCTCCCTCAAAAGGGAGGTGAGGGGCTCAAGCCCCATAATAGGCATTTGTGGGTGTGTGTGAGAATTTATCTAACAAAAAAGAAAAGAAAAGAAAGAAGTAAAGTTATAATCTACTGAAAAATTTAAACTTACATATCGAATAAGGTTTGAGCATTCATTAAAGTGAAAGCTAGTGTTCCTCTGGCCGCTTACAATCTCAAGTAGCAACACCCCGAAGCTATAGACATCAGACTTCACAGAGAATAGTCCGTCCATCGCATACTCAGGGGACATATAGCCACTGTTTAATAGAGATTAATTAATTAGGCTGTTCGTTCTTGTGGGTGAATAGATGGATCATCTTAATTGTATGCAATCATGAAAACAAATGATACTTACTATGTGCCAACAACTCGGTTTGTTTCGGTTTCATTTTCATTCCCTCCAAATATTCTGGCCATGCCAAAGTCTGAAATTTTCGGGTTCATCTCTTCATCCAACAATATGTTGCTAGCTTTAAGATCTCTATGAATAATTCTGAGTCTTGAATCTCGATGAAGATAAAGAATTCCTCGTGCAATACCTTCAATAATTGTAAAGCGCATCCTCCAGTCTAGTTGTGCTTTCTTAGCAGGGTCTGCCATGATGATCGTCAAATTGTCAATATGTACTTCTCATGAAAAGCTCTAAAACTTCACATTCTTTCTTGCTTAAACAAATAAAATACTAACAAGAGAAAGTTGTAATTAAGCTGAAAACTAACCAAAAAGAAAGAAATCCAAGCTTTTGTTAGGCATGTATTCATAAACCAGTATCTTTTCGTCCCCTTCAATGCAACAGCCCAACAATCTTACAAGATTTCTGTGTTGTAATTTTGCAATTAGTATCAACTCATTCTTAAATTCCTCTAAGCCTTGTCCGGACCTCCTTGAAAGCCTCTTTACAGCTATTTCTTGTCCCCCTGGTAGTGTTCCCTGCAAAAGCAAATAAAATTTGTATATACATTTCAACACAACTTTAATTACAGCAAATTTGTTTTACATAAAATTAATTACAGCAAATTTGATTTACATAAAATTTACATCTGAAAATAATATACCTTAAATACAGGACCAAATCCCCCTCTTCCTAGCTTGTTTTCATTTGCAAAAAAATTTGTGGCTACCTCTACATAATTGAAACTGAACAATGGTAATTCTGGTCCGCTGCCCTGCTTTCCATCAATTGTTAGGTCATCTTGTCCTGAAAAATCTGCAGAAAATTCTCTACTTCTACTCACAGTTAACATTGAAGGATCATGGTTTTTCCGCCATTTTTTTAAGTGTGCTGCTGACAAATTTTAGAAGAAAAAGGCAGATGTTAAAAAAGATAATAACAAGAACTTAAAAACGGTTTCCAGGAGCTGAACTGTGAAATTTTACCTTTCAATTTTGCTCTGGACCTCCATAGTAGCCAAATGGATATGATCAAGAAGACTGTTCCTGGTACCACCGTCATTATTATAGCAAGATTGGATATTTTTCTACTACCACCTAGACATGAAGAGAAGCATGTTACAAGATCAGATCTACTAAGTTATATATGAAGCTTTGAACTTTTCTAAGATTCCACATTTTGCTCCATTAGTTTGCCCTCCCAACAGACAAATATAACTGTATGTAAAGAAAATATAGTTGTGAATTTGAATTGTGTTGGTAACTAAGCTGATCTGTGCATTATAATTGAGTTTTACTAGGCCTGTCTAGATAGAATTCCTGTTCCTTTTACTGAACTTTTATCCAAGGTTTTATCTTTTGCACATCCATGATGTGAATTAGATCTTGATATTTTGAAAAATAATTTTCGAGAAGCAAAAGAAATTACTCATATTTAGAACTTGAAACTAATTACATGAGATTAAGTACTTCAGTTTCTAAAAAGGTTGAGCCGACATAATCACAATTCAGTTTATCCTGTGCCCCTGCCTGCTTATGGCTAGAGTAGCACTATTTTGTGTCCCTGCCTACTGATATCCTGATTTTCCGTGATTGTATCAATACCATAGAAGAAATTGATCAGCACCAAGCAAAAGAGAGAAAAATAAAAGATTAAAGGCAGAAAATCACAAAGAAAAATATGATTAAACTCAATTTTAAGACCAAAAACAACAGCAGTGAGGACCATCTTACCTAATTCAGACTCAGCAACGCGCACGTATAATGTTCCCCCACCATCTTCTAAACGCTCAACATCAAGTAAATCACCACCCCAAATCATGCAGTCAATCCCATCTAGATATGCATATGCAATACAAGAACAATTCGTCAAACACTTGGTGTGACACTCGCTTGTGTTTTTTGCCATCACGGTATCAGCATAATCCGGAAACTTCACCCCATCAACTGCCAAAAACCCATCACTGCTAGTACCATTATCACATTGCAAAGTGGTCCTCCTAACACACCCACCAGACCAATTTCCATTATTCCATTGATCTTTGTATTGGGCTTCAAACCCTTCAATACAAGCGCATTTTTTAGAATCCCCCACAGTACACATTCCAAAATTCCCACACTCGTTATATTCATCGCATTCATCTAAAGGCTCTTTCTGTAGTAGAGTCCAGTTCTTGTTCTTTTGGTTCCAAATCAGCTGCTGTCCAACTCCATCCCATGTAACCATAAACCTTACAATATGAGTACTTTCTATTGTTGTGTAAGTGAAGTACTGACCATCTCCATCATTGTTAAGCTTGAAACCATAGGAATAGAGAGATTTCATTCTAGGAACACCCAAAAATATTTGGCCATCCCAGTGCCCACTCCTCCACCTCCTATTCTTATGCTCCCACACCAATAACTGTGGCGATGCGCGAGGATCAATACCCATTGAATAATTTCCAGGCGAAGGATCATTAGCGCTCTTCCAAGAAGTGAAGGCGCGATTTTCGCCAGCTTGGGCATTTGCATAAGCCTTCATGCCAGGTAAAAATGTATCCGTTGGATCATCAAAGCTTTGCCATAAGACCTGATTAGAATCATTGGTGAGAACAAGATCACCACTATCCTGAAGGATTGCAGTTGAATTTCCTGATACAGTTGAAGCATTAGCCGACCAGACTGAATTGCCCATTCCATCTGAAATCAATAGATTTCCATCATTTCCAACTGTTAGGGTTCCATTTTCACCAGAGATCGGACTCTCTCTGTTGGCAACCCATATGACTGTTTGCTCCGAAACCTTGTTGTACCATATCCCAACATATCTAGATGTTGAATTTGCAGGACTGAAAAAACCCAATACAAAGTTTTCACCAGAAGAGAGAATTGTTTCTCCATCTCTCACTAATTGGCCTTGTGTGATGTTGTTGGCTGCTTGAGAAAACAGAACAAGAATTTGAGAAATGAAAAGGAAGGAGCAAAGATAAATAATTGTTGGGTACCTGTAACTATAGCCCATCTCTCTATCTGAATCAGTACAAAGTCTGCAGATTCATATAGAGTTACAATAGGCAAGCGTGCTATCAAAAGCAGATATTGTAACTTCAGGGAAGGTCCAACTGGGGACTGTTGATCGTGGCATTGTCATGGTCTTCAGATTTGACTGTTGTTGGTGCCATTGACAAGGTTATGGGATCAGGGAGTCATCGTCAATGGCTTCAATTAAACTTTAGATGAAAGGTTGGCGGTCCAACCTCAAAGATTCTCTCAACATAGAAAATGACAGAAATACAGAGGTTGGGGGTGAAATTATATTAATATTTTTTTGGTTAGTTACACAGAACTCTCTATTATAAAATAAATTGTATATAAACTCCATAAACTAAACATTTTAACATATAATTATCTTGAAATAGAAAAATTTTGGAAGTCAACCATCAAAAGATTGAAAACTTTTTTAAAGTTCAAATTTAATCTTTAATAATAGATTTTTTTTAAAAAAAAACCCTCTCATATTACCCTTGGTTCAGAATAACATGCAGATTCTTATGTTTTAGGAAGTAGTTGTGCAATTCATGTAATAGGTGATTTAGTAATTTATAACACACATTTAATAACCATGTAATTGATATCAATTTCAGATGATATTATTTTAATTGATGAAATTAGAGAAGGGATAGATGTTAAATTGGACATCTGAAAGAACCTCTAGAATTTAGAGTATTAAATTAATGGGGCGCAAGAATTTGAACATTCAAATTTTATTTTGGAAGACGAGAAAGTACCACTTAACTATGTAATATAAGCCAAAGCGGCTCAACCTTTAAAACAATTAAGGCAGCCACCTACGGCCTCCAATGAGAGAAGAGGGCCACAACAATGATCTCATTATATTACTTTTATATATATATAAAAAAGTAATATATATATATATATAGAGGGCCACAACAATGATCTCATTATATTACTTTTATATAATATATATAAAAGTAATATAATGAGATCATTGTCGTGGCCCTCTTCTCTCATTGGTATATATGTTAATAAATTAATTATGCTTGTTTATTGTACCAAATAAATACAATTACACTTCCATTCCTCAATACAAGTTTCTTTTAATTGAAAAGTTTTATCTTCTCTTTACTACTACTACTCTTTTCTTTTTCTTTTTTTTTTGGTTACAATCTCGCACATTTTTTACTTATAATTTTTAAATTCTCTTACGCTGATATACTTGTTCAACGTAGCATTGACTCTCCCAGACACATCAATTGCAAGCACAATTAATTCATCGTCTCTTAACCTAAAATTTGTAAATAGTATTTTTATATTTCCTTGAGATTATTGTAACAGTTAGAATAAATTTTAAATAAATATTATTACTATTTTATTAATATAGTTAATGTGAGACGGCCTAATACAGTGACTTTGCTTTTGGTCTCAAATTGGATCAAGCAGGCCTTGACAGGGACGGGTCAATTAAAACAGCCGCCAAAGGCCTCCAATAAGAGTAGAAGCAGGAAGGCAACGAAACGAGTTTGGAACGAGTTTTTCTAAATCTCGCCCGCTCCTTTTAATTTTTGTTAATTTCATGTTCGTCCCGAGATTTACGACGGGTTGAATTTTTATATTCAGCCCCGTCCCGTTAGGAAATACTGTGCCCCTGTGCCCGCCCCGCTAACAAATTTTTTCTCTCACTTTTTGAAACTTAAACTCCTGCTATTTAAATGTGGAAAGCTTAGAAATGACACAACATAAATGAACTTATGTATCCCAACAAAAATAGAAAAATAACATGCACATAATATAATTCAGAGAACATAGTAAATAAAAATAAAAGTTTAATACAACCAAATCACAAGAAGTTCTAAACTCCAACTTCTACCATAACCAAAACGAAAGCAAATTTAATACCAAATTTACATCCAAAATTAGAATTGTAAGATATGGGTAAATGGGTAAGCCGCTAAAATAAGTTATATATATATATATATATATATATATATATATATATATATATATATGCTTAGCGGAACGGGGCGGGGCCTCCAGGATATATATACTGAACCCTTACACGTTCCGTGACCCGCGACGGGTACAAAATTTGAATTCATACTTGTCCCAACGGTATAAAAAGTGTTCCCATGTCTGTTATCAACAAGGTGGGACAGGGCGGGGCGGTAAAAATTGGCATCCCTAAGTAGAAGGCCACAAAAGTGATCACATTATATTACTTTTATTTTTTAATGTATTAATTATGCTCGTTTATCATAGTAATTACCAAATAAACACAAATTATACAACTGCACTTCCATTTGTCTATACAATTCTTTTAATTAAAATGTTTTATCTTATAGTTATTTTTTCTCAACAATCTCACACTTTTTTTACTTCTAATTTTTAAGTTCTCTAACATATCAAAACTTGTTCAACTTTATATTTCTTTTGGACTTTGTAACTTATTAATTCTCTAACTCATCAAATTATTTTTTGTTGGCAATCAGGGTGTCCAGGACTTTGCCCTGACTAATCAATCTTACACATCAATATTAAATCACTATCTCTTAAGGTAAAAATGTAAATAGTGTTTTTTATATTTCTTTGAGCTTATTGATAGAATAAATTTCAAATAAAAATTATTACTACTGTATTAATATAGTTAGTGTGAGAAGACAAAATTTAGAGATTTTGCTTAAGACCTCAAAGGGACTATTCAACCTTAAGGCAATTAAGGCAGCCTAAGGCCTCCAATGAAAGAAAATGGCCACAAAAGTGATTTCATTATATTAATTATATATTTTTTAATGTATTAATTATGCTCGTTTATTGTATTAATTACCAAATAAATACAATTGCTCTTCCATGTTAGGAATCGTGGCTTATATTGCTATTAAAATTAGGTTTTCATTTTAAAGTCAGCATTTATGGGAATTTCTTGCAAAGTAAATCATGGTCTTTAAGGAAATTTTTGTAAGATAGGTCTTGGCTTTTAAGAAATTGTAATCCTTTATAACTCATTGACACTTTTAGACATCAATATTAAATCATTCTCTTTTAAGCAAAGAAGAGTTTTTATATTTCCTTGAACTTTTTGCAATTAGCATAAATTTTAAATAAAACTTATTACTATAATATCAATATATTTAATGTGAAAAGGCCTACTTTAGTGATTTAGCTTTCCGCCTCAAATTGGATTAAGCCGGCCCTGAGTGTAAGTTTAGTGAATATATAAAAAAAGCAAATAGAGATGTAGTAAAGATAAGAGACATGCCAAAAAAATGAATTATTTAGGTATTTGAACTTTATTATTCACATAGTAGGGAAAAAAAAGAACTTAATTACTCTTAGTGAAAGAGAAATAAATATAATGTCAAGGTTGGATGACTTAATTGGAGGAGAGTACCTCAATATTGTGTGATTAATGTATCCCTTTAAGATTGAAATGAAAGTTTTTAAACCAGTCATTTTTGGATTGAAATTTGGGTAGCTAGCATAAGCACAAAGAAATAATAAAATTGAAAAAGAAAACATTCCCGTGAGATGGTAGAGTAGGACCCATTAGAGATAAAATGAGAAAATTGATTAAAATGATTTGAAAATGTGCAAGAAAGATGACATATGTGACATTTCACGTTCCGCGAGAGAAATGTGTACAGACAATATTTACAGGTGTAAGAGGGTTGAGACACGGTAAGTGTAGCATCCAACCATCTAATATCATTACCCAAACAGATCTCTAGAGAAACATTTTAGTACTGAATGCAAAACGACACCGTTTTATATGCGGGTCTTTCAAAAAATTGAAGAAAAAACTGGGGATGTTCCTAATTTGTGTTTATGAAACTGAAATTGGAAAAAGGCTACACATATTTGAAATTAATACCTAAGGATTTGGTTTCAGAGTTCTTTACGTGAATGGAAAAATTAGGGTTGGGAATACCCGATAAGGTGAGAGCAAGAATATATATCAATATATATAGACAAACTCATAAATATAAATATTATATATAGAGAGAGAAGTATAAAAAACTTTTAAGAAAACAAAGTCAAGAGATTAGTAAAAAAAGAGGCAAAGTTAAAAAAGAAATACCTTTAAATTGATGAAATATGTTCTGGAGCGTCCTGGAATTAGAATCAAATCACAAATGAATTCTAGAAAGAGAAACTAATTTCTAGGGTTTATCTACCTTGAGAGTTTATACCATTGGGTTATGTAGATTAACTGAAGTTATAACTTCCATAGGGTAGAATGAAAAAATAAAATTTATGTAGTATTAACTTACTCGTATATAACTTGGAAAAAAAAAAAACTTTGTTTGTTGTATTTAACGTTGGAAAAAAAAAAAAAAACTTTGTTTGTTGTATTTAACGGCCACTTGAAAATAATTATAATGTTGGTCGTATGTACATTTTGTTTTTTAGTTCAAGGAGGTTGGTTTATTTGAATTCCGGAAATAAAGTCCAATTTTTTATAATTTGGCCTGTGCAAAATCATTTATTCTTTTTTGGTATGGAAGTTTTTTTTTTTTAATTTATCTATATATATATATATATATATATAGAAAGAGAGAGAGAAATTGTTTTGTTTTTGTTTTTTTTTTTTTTTTTTAACCCGAGTCATTAGTTTTAAATTTTTATTCAATTTATTTTTGTTACTTCTACTCTTTGAGGTTGCCTGAGTCTCAATATAATAAAAATAAATGTTGGGATCCTCAAATGGATGGCAACCTTTGACACCCCCCCCTTTTTTTTTTTGGGGTAAATCAATATATTAACATGTACAAAGGGAAGCCCGAAGGCAAAACAACAAGTTGGGATGCTCAAAAAATTCGGTAAATCAAAAAATCGGATCAAATCGTATTGAATTGGGCGGTTTGAATTAGTTGTATAGCGGTTTGGTTCAATTTTCGGCCCAAAATTATGGAACTGTAATATTCGGTCCCGTCCTAATTAGGGTCTTGTTGGATCAGACCAACCCGGACCGAATCGTTATTATGTTATATATATATATATATATATATATATATATCATATCTAAAACTTAAATCAAGTAAAGTTTTCGAGTGTCCCCTTTCTTTCTTTTGTTCTTTAAATTTCTTTTAAAAAAAGTCAAATTTCCTTTTTCAAATATATCTCAATTTTCAATCCTTTCAAATATATATCAATTTTTTTTCCTTTTTTTCTTCTTAATTTTTATTTTTATTTTTATTTATTTATTATTATTATTTTTTAACTTTGCCCATATAAATTAAACTAAATTAAAGGGAAATCAACTGAAACTAACAAATCGAACCAAACCGAACCAAACCAATTTTTCGCGGTTTGGTTTGGTTTGGTTCTATGGACATTATAGTTCGGTCTGGTTTCAAAAATAATGGAATCGTTATAAATGGTTTGGCTCCAAAATAATCCCAATGCGATCTAAACCGGACTGTGTGCACTCCTAGCAAAGGCAAGTCTCAAAAAAAAAAAAAATAAATAAATAAATAAAAACCTTTGGCCCTGGATTGGCTTATCAAAAGTTGCTTTTAGCTTTTGGGGCTCAAAAACTGTTTTAAATAGTGTTTGCCTGTGTTTTTTAGAAGTGGTTTGAGTTAAACGCTCTTTTGAAACAGAAGAGGTTTAGCGTTTTAATGAAACTTAAAAAAATAAAATCTAAGCATGTTGTATTTAAAAGAAACCGTTTTCTTCCTCAACATTACGCTTTGCCTGAGCCTGAAGTCGTGAACCCTAGCAACAACCTAAGCAGTTAGAGAATCCTCTCTGAAAACCTCAGGTAAAACTATTTTCTCTCCTTTTTTCTTCATTCCGACCGTACAAAACTTAATTGATATATGTGGTTGTTTGTGTCTCATTATAAAGATCATTATTTGCACCAATTATGTCCCGAGGGATTCTCCATTGCCCATGCCTAATTAGGCATTTAACTCTAGTGTCAACACTCCACATATGATTGGTTATGACTTCAAGGTCTACTCTTTGATCGATAGAGGTAACCAGTAATCATACCATAGGAATGTATCACAACCATCTCCCACTTGGTGTTTGACAAAATGTCTATCTAACCCTCTAAGCTTGAGAAGCATCCTCCAATTCCATGAGCTTATCTGCTTAGCTTTCAGCCTCCAAAAACTCTTATTCTTGATCAATGTAGAATGTGCCCAATCAAACCAAAGAGATTGCCCACAATCATTAAACAAGTGCCAAATATGTTTAAGGATTGAAATCCTGTTAAGAGAAGCACCTTTGATCTTGGTTTTAAACTATATTTGTAATTTGTAAAACCTGGAAAACTTGTTACTCAAAAGGAAAAAAAAAAAATAAGTACAATAATAATGGATAATTTGCAATACCAATTTGGTTCATTTCTGTAAGAAAAAATTTAGAATATTTACACTCAAAAGCGTTTGTTCTGTTACTCAAACTTCCCCCAGTTGACAAATGACCTTTTATGCCATCACAAATGTGAAAATTTGGTGATGAGTTTTGACTCCTGTGACACCAGGTACCAAGATATTCTGGTACTTCTCAACTAAAATGCATCATCATATTCTCTGCATAGTCCTAAAATTGGAGTATGGAGATCAACATTTTTCTTGTACCTAAATTATACAGTCAAATAACTTCATTGATGTGTTCACATGTACACATGGAATTGGTAACATTAATAATGCTTTCATACAACTATATTTTGTAATCCAAAATACACCATAAATGTTGCTTTCATACAAATGGCCTATATAAGATCACAAATTATGTAGTACAACAAAAAAAAGGGAAACAAAATTTACCTTCCAATTAATTCTGTAACTGTTACATCATTTGAGGCTGTAATATCATTATCATGACCTTCTTCAAATTCTTCACCTTTACCTTCACCTTCAACTTCTCTGGAGGTATTCAATGAAGCAAGCCTGGGTTGTCTAGGCGTTGGCATATTTGCACTTTCATTCTCCAACATTAATACCACAGAAGACATGTTTGGTCTATAAACTGCAGACTCTTGTACACACAACATCCCTACATATATGCATCTCATAACTTCATCTTCAGAACAAGAATCCACAATCGAAGGATCTACAAGCTCCTTTGCTTTACCATCGTTCCATAGTTTCCATGCCTGAAATCATTTAATTCCAATTGTTACGACTCCAATTTACTAATTATATGCAGAAAATCATGTGATCTACTGAAAATTTTAAACTTACATATCGAATAAGGTTTGAGCATTCTTGTGAGTGAAAACTATTGTTTTTCTGGCCGCTTACGAGCTCTAGTAGCAACACCCCGAAGCTATAAACATCAGACTTCACAGAGAATAGTCCTTCCATTGCATACTCAGGCGACATATAGCTACTGTTTTTGGCAAGAAGTGATTTAATAGAAAATAATTAGTCCATTTGTTTATGTGGGTGAATTGTATGCAATCATGAGAACAAATGATACTTACTATATGCCAACAACTCGGTTTGTTTTGGCTTCATTTTCGTTCCTGCCAAATATTCTGGCCATGCCAAAGTCAGAAATTTTCGGGTTCATCTCTTCATCCAACAGTATGTTGCTAGCTTTAAGATCTCGATGAATAATTCTGAGCCTTGAATCCCGATGAAGATAGAGAATTCCTCGTGCAATACCTTCAATAATTGTAAAGCGCTTCCTCCAATCTAGTTGTGCTTTCTTAGCGGGATCTGCCATCATGATCATCAACTTGCCAATGTAAACTCATATCCTTTAATGCTTACACAAATAATATATTAACCAGAGAGTTATAATTGAGCTGAAAACCAACCAAAAAGAAAGAAATCCAAGCTTTTGTTAGGCATGTACTCATAAACCAGTATCTTTTCATCCCCTTCAATGCAACAGCCCATTAGTCTCACGAGATTTCTGTGTTGTAATTTTGCAATTAGTATCAACTCATTCTTAAACTCCTCCAAGCCTTGTCCAGACTGCCTTGAAAGCCTCTTTACAGCTATTTCTTGTCCCCCTGGTAGTGTTCCCTGGAAAATCGAATATATGTTGTTTATATACATTGCAACACAACTTTCATTACAGCAAATATGCTATACATAAAATTTACCTCTGACAATAATATACCTTGAATACAGGACCAAATCCCCCTTGTCCTAACTTGTTTTCAAGTGAAAAATAATTCGTGGCAACATCTACATAATTGAAACTGAACAATGGTAATTCTGGTCTACTGCCCTGCTTTCCATCAATGGTTAGGTCACCTTGTCCCGAAAATTCTCTACTTTTACTTGAAGTAAACATTGAAGGATGATGGTTTTTCCGCCATGATTTTGTGAATGCTGGAGGCAAATTTTATAAGAAAATGTCAGACATTAAAATGATAATAACAAGAACTTAAAAACAGCTTCCAGGAGCTGAACAGTGAACAGTGAAATTTTACCTTTCAATTTTGCTCTGGACCTCCATAGTAGCCAAATGGATATGAGCAGGAAGATTGTTACAGATACTACCATCATTATTATCACAAGATTGGATATTCTGCTACTACCACCTAGAAATGATGAGAAGCAAAGTTACAAGATCAGAACTACTATGTTATATATGAAGCCTAAAACTTTTATAAGATTCCACAGACAAATATAGGTAAAGAAAATATAGTTCTGGAGTCGAATTGTGTTGGTAACTAAGCTTATCTGTGCCTTATAATCGAGTTTTACTAGGATTGTCTAGCTAGAACTCAAGTTCTTTATACTGTATGTTTATCCTAGGTTCTATATGTTGGATATCCATGATGTGAATTAGATCTTGATATTTAGAAAAATCGTTTTTGAGAAGCAAAATAAACTATTCATACTTGGATCTTGAAACTTATTACGGGAGATTAAGTATTTTAGTTTCTATAATGGTTGAGCCTACAGAATCATAATTCAGTTTACTCTGTGCCCCAAACCCTTGTAACTAGAGTGGCAACATTTCATCTCACTGCCTAAATGGTACGGTATTGCTATCCTGATTTCCAAATGGTACGGTATTGCTATCCTGATTTCCTTGCTTGTATCCTATCCCTGAAGAAATTGATCAACAGCAAGCAAAAGAGAAAATAATAAAAGATTAAAAGGCAAAATAATCAGAATGAAAAAATATGATTAAACTCAAAATTAAGACCAAAAACAACAGCAATGATAATCATCTTACCTAATTCAGACTCAGCAACACGAACATATAATGTTCCCCCACCTTCTTCTAATCGCTCAACATCTAGTAGATCACCACCCCAAATCATGCAATCAATCCCTTCTAGATATGCATATGCAATGCAAGAACAATTCGTCAAACACTTGGTCTGACACTCGCTTATGTTTTTCACCGTCACGGTATCAGCATAATCCGGAAACTTCAACCCCTCAACTGCCAAAAACCCATCACTGCTAGTACTATTATCACACTGCAAAGGGGTCCTCCTAACACACCCACCAGACCAATTTCCATTATTCCATTGACTTGTGTTATGTGCTTCAAACCCTTCAATACAAGTGCAAAATTGAGAATCTCCCACAGTACACAAACCAAAATTCCCACACTTGTTATATTCATCACATTGCACTGAAGGCTCTTTATGAAGTACTGTCCAATTCTTGTTTGATTCCTCCCAAAATAGATGCTCTCCAAATCCATCCCATGTAATCATAAACCTCACAATTTGAGTAGTGTTCATTGTTGTGTAAGTGAAGTACTCACCATCTGCATCATTGTTAAGCTTGAAACCATAGGAATAGAGAGCTTTTATTCTAGGAGCACCCATAAAAAATTGGCCATCCCAGTGCCCACTCCTCCACCTCCTCTTGTTCTGCTCCCACACCACTATCTGTGGCGATCCGCGAGGATCAATACCCATTGAATAATTTCCAGGCGAAGGATCGTTAGGGCTTTTCCAGGAAGTGAAGCTGCGAATTTCGCCAATTTGGTCATTTGCATATGCCTTCATGGTAGTTAAAAATGTATCTGTTGGATGAGCAAAACTTTGCCATAAAACGTGATTGGTATCATTGTTGAGAACAAGATCAGCACTTTCCTGAAGAACTGCAGTTGAATTTCCTGAAATTGAAGCATTAGTTGACCAGACTGATTTGCCATTTCCATCTGCAATCAGTAGATTTCCATCATTCCCAACTGTTAGGGTTCCATTTTTACCAGAGATTGGACTCTCTCTATTGGCAACCCATATGACTGTTTGCTCAGAAACCTTCTTGTACCATATCCCAACATATCTAGATGTTGAATTTTCAGGACTAAAAAAACCCAATACAAAGTTTTCACCTGAAGAGAGAATTGTTTCTCCATCTCTCACCAATTGGCCTTGTGGGATATTGTTGGCTGCTTGAGAAAACAGAACAAGAATTTGAGAAATAAATAGGAATGAACAAAGATAAACCCTAGCTGGGCTTCTGTAACTGTTGCTCATCATCTCTCCATCTGAAGTAAGACACGGTCTGCAGTATTAATACACATCATGAATAAATTTCGTAGGCCAAAGTTTATATATATATATGGCATCCCCAGTAGATTAAATAACAAACTTCCAAATGGAGATGTTGAGATACATGCATGAAAGACTATGTCGTGTTCAGGAATTCATCAGTGGTAGATGAACTATTGCTATGCTATGTTTGGAATTCATTAGAGGTAGATGAACTATTTCTATGCTATGTTTGAGAGAATTGAATCGGGGGTTTGAATTTGAGATTTGAGGTAAGCTAGTTAAAATTTTGAACTAAATTTTTTTCAGTTTCAAATCCAAAGCATCGATCTATTTCTATGCTATGTTTGAGAGAATTGAATCGGGGGTTTGAATTTGAGATTTGAGGTAAGCTAGTTAAAATTTTGAACTAAATTTTTTTCAGTTTCAAATCCAAAGCATCGATTTCATCCTCCAAGCAAGCAAAGCTGTGTCATTTCAATGCTTAATAGTGAAATTCACTGTCCCTTCTAAGCAAGCCAAAAGAGTGTGAACAATGCCAGAGATATAATTATTAAAGGCCGATTAGCATGTCAATTCTTGAAATTGTTTTTTTGTCCCTCATGCACACCTTAATTGAATATACAAAGTATAGATTTATTTTACAATGACTTTGTCAACAATTTTATAAAAGTGAACTTTGGCCTTGATCTCATCCACATTGGTCCTTTCTGATTGAAAATGATCCCATGAACTAAGGTATTTTGGAGATGACGTCGAATATATAAAAATAATAAAAAAAATTCATAATTCTAAATAAGAAAGAATCATATATATACACGGTAAAAATAAAAAATACAAAAATCATAATACTAAATAAGAAAGAATCATATTTCTTTGGATTTGATGTACCTCCTCCAATAAAAAAGATTTTTTATTTTTCAACTAGAATTTTTTGTCTTTAGACTTTCAAACAATATCAACGAGTTCGGTCCGACTTGAAAAGATCTCGAAGCCAAGGAATAAAATTCATCAACTTGTTCTTGATATACGCTATTTTTCAATCCATCGTTTAGGGCTCCCAAACCATGTTTGGGTTTTTTTTTTTGAAAAAAAATAAATTTCTGAATAGATTCAAAATTTTCAGCTTTCTTTGTGTAGGGGTTTTATTATTAATTTTTTTTTAACAATAAATACATGTACTTCAGAGAGAAAATACAGAAGATTGAAAATTATTTATTCGTGAACTGTTGATAACTTTCACTCATTGAGCAACTACTGAAAGTGACATTTTTTATTTATTTTGAGTTCCATTGTTCTGTGACATTCTTCAACTCTTGCAAATTGTTCAATAACATGAGAAATAATAAGTCAGTACTTTTGACTGTTTTTTTTTTTTTTGTTTTTAATCATCTAAGTCCCAAATCTTCCATACCAAACCAAATTATATGCTTTTCGTTACACAAGATATAATCTCCTTACAAAATTGGACATAAATTTTGAATACGAAGAAAAAAATACTTTTATTAATTTTTAATTAAAAAATGCAGAATTATATATAATGTGTATGTAGTATATAAATATGCAAATCATTGATCAAGTGTGAGAATATGAGAGAGCTCCTTTTTATTTATTTTTTATTTTTTAATTCATACAAGCTTGTAGAACAAAAAGATATATTTATTTCTTTGTAAATTTATTTTTTAATTTCAATTCCAAATGAATGCTTAATCCGAACAAAAGAATTAGAATTGTAATTTAATTTTACATAAAATTTAAAATTGGTATGAACAGATTTAAAATTGAATTTATTGAATTTTAATTACATGAAATTAAGTCCAATTCAATTCCAATTAGAATTGTAATTTTACTTTATCTATGCTTTTTTATTATTATTATTATTATTATTATTATTTTGTAAGGCATCGGAGGAGGCACTAATCCACAGAAAATCCATCGAAATATTGAGAACTGCGTTTTTATTGAAAATTAAAATTTTGCACCAACTGCAATTTTAAATCTCAATTCCAAACAACATAGCATAAATCTCAATTCCAAATAGATTGATTTTAATATGATTCACCAAAGTAGGATATTTTAAGTACAACAGATTTTGTCCACACCCAAGAGAAAAAAAAATTAACCAACAATAAAAGATAGATATCCAACCCAAAACTCAAAAGCGAGATTGCAAACCCTATTACCAAAACTCTTTTATACAAAACCAGGATGAACTTTATTCGCTGTTCAAGACTCTGCTAAATTCTCCTATTTTTAATTTCTAAATCAATTACATGAGTAAGTCAATTATATATATATATTAATTGTTTTAAGGAATATTCTTTAAATTCATATGTGCAACTTGCTTCCCCTACTGCACTTGTCATTTATCTATTTTTTTTCATGGTCAAAATTTTGGAAGGACATGGCTTCCTCAGCAGTGACGATAGGTGGGTGTTGACACACGACTTTCTTGGTCCTTCTCTACGTCAATGTCAAGCATTACATTCCAAACCCAGGACAACACTATTCTCCAACCTGGGCGGCTCTACCCTCTCCTGCCCGGCCCTCATTTCTTTTTTTAATCCTGGCAAAAAAACCGTCATGTCATACGACATCTACAAGGTAATAACACAAAATAAAGAAACACAAACACAATCAACACTCCAAAACAAAACTAACATCTACTAAAGTCAAGATCACAGCCTTAACAACAACCTAAAACTAAAAGGTGTCAGCATGGACAAGGATCGGGTCAACCAACAGATAGCAAAAACTGCAGCACCTAACAATGAAAACTGTCTATGGATGCCAACGTGAGAATATCCCCAAGAATAAAAACAAGAGCAAGATCCCTAGAAATATGACGTCAGGAAAGCTTCGCAATAGCGTGTGCAACTTGATTACCAGTTCTATAGACATGGCTAATGCGATAAAAGTTAAATCTCCGAAGTGTCACTTGAACATCAAAGACAACAAGATGAATTTCAAGTGGTCCAGGAGCAACACCCGATACAGCCTGAATCACAATCATAGAATCACATTCAAACCAAACCCGTGCAAATGAAGAAGAAATAGCCCAAAGAACTGCTTTGCGAACGCAAATGGCCTCAGCAACGGTTGCAGTAGTAGCAGAGAAGGGAGAAAACACCACTGTCTGCAAAATAGTTCCCCTAGAATCTTGAAAGACCGCACCACCACCCCCAACGTGAGATGAAGAGAAAAAAGGCTCATCCACATTACATTTAACCACCCCATCAGTTGGAGGCATCCAATGGGAAAATGAAGGAACAAACAAACCGGGAGATAAGTTGGAGTGAGATAAAGACGATGCATCCTTGTATTCCCAAAATTGAGAACACGCCATAGAAACGACTCTATGGACATCCCACAAAACGCCATCGAAAATAAATTTATTTCGGGCCTTCCAAATACTCCAACAACAGTGGGCCACCAAACCCAGCATGTCCATTCCTCCGTCTGTAGCCACCCACTGCCCAACTAAAGCCATCCACCAATTAGAAAAGGAAGAAGGAGGAGCACAGGCAAAATCAATACTTAACGGGGAATGTTTCCAAACTTGGATGGAATGATGGCATAGGAAAAACAAATGTTCAATAGATTCCTCATCCAAGCCACACTTGGGACACACTATGTGATGTTTCCGATTTTCACCATTTTTCTTTTTCGGAAGTTGTGTCGCCGCAAGGGCATTTTCGTCTCTTCACATTTATCGTGCTGGACATTGTGGAGTGCACCGGTTGTGTCCTAAAATTGTTTAGGGCATTTCATTGAGTTCATGACTCTTTGAAATGTAAGGGTGATCATTTTAACATTTTTCAGTTTTTCGAGCTGGACGGTTCCCTGTGGGACCCGCTACCGGAATTGTTGCTTACGGAAATTTTAGTTGGGTCCATTTGCATACATGTATTTAATTTCATATGGTATATGTGATTATTTTATAGTTAGCGCAATTATATGTATTTGTGGTGAGGAATTAAAGAGAAAAGAAAAAAAAAATAAAAAGGAATTGGCGGGACCCACCCTTGGACCATTTAAGGTTATGAGACCATAATTTGGTCACATTCTCTCATTTCTCTCTCACTCTTCGGCAGGTTCTCTCTCCCTCTCATTTGCTTTTCTTTTTCTTTTTCTTTTTACTTCAAATCTTTGAAGTTAGATCTCTCTCTCCATACTTAGTGTTTTTGAGTGCCGTTTGCGGCAAATCGAAACCCACGACAGTATCTACGAGTTGATCAGAGCCAATCTCTATTTGGCCATCAATTGAAGGATCTCTAATCCTAGGGTTTGAGATAGAAAAAGGGATTTTTCATCTAATTAGAGGTAGGGGTTTCTAATACTCAATTTTCTTGTTTCCTTGTGAGTTTTCCTACTTTAATTACTGTCAACATAGAAAATGACAAAAATACAGAGGTTGGGGGTGAAATTATATTAGTATTTTTTTGGTTAGTTACTGAGGAGGCCCAGGACGACATGGGCCGGATCTGACTTGCAAGCACTACATCCGGTCCGTACAGCTGGGTCAGCCCATATAAAGACACTGCCATATGGGCCGAACGCGAGTAAGCCCATCAAAGGTGACCAGGACTTATGGAGGAACAGGCCCAGATCCAGCAATCAGTCAATATTTGTAAATATTTTGTAAATATCTATAAATAAGGGAAGGAATGGAAAATATGGGAGGATCTTTTTGGTTGAAGTGTAAGAATTCTAGAGAGAGAAAGAGGGAATGAATTTCTTGCATCTTCAATTGGCGCCGTCTGTGGGAAACGTATGGAAGTTTGGTTGATCAATGAGGAATATCGAGTGGATTCAGACCAATTCGGTTGATCGAGACTCGATCTTTGGGATTTGGATCCAGATCTGAGCGATTGTGACCTACTCTGGAGGAGTTACAATTCTTGAAGCTTTGGCAGAAGTGGCTTCAGATCTACGCAACAACGAGTTGTTCGATTGTGGCGGGATCTGACGGATTTAGAGTTCGGACAATTCAGATCTCGTAAACGGTGAACGTAATTCGGAGAATTCGAAACCAGATCTGAAAAATTCCCACTCACGAAGCTCAGATCTACTCGCGAACTTGAGATTAATGCCTTTACTCCGTTCAGGAATAATGATAGGTGAAAGCTCCAATCCGATGGAGGCTGTCCAGCAAACAAAGCTTGAGGAGTTGATGAACTTGATTGAGGCTCTCAAAAAAGAGAATGCAGAATTGAAAGCTGGAATGCAACATCGGCAAATACCTGCGGTTTCGTATCCACTTCCGGTCGGTGAAGGAGGTGTTCAATCTAATATCGCGCGTCAAGGCGAACAGGACGAGAACAATCAGTCAGCTCACCACCGTGATGAAAGGATGATGGACAATTTGCCGCCAAATGTTCGTCGAGTTGAAGATCACGAAGGATCGACTCACGTTGATCCGCATCGGGAAAGGTTCGACCGAGAGGAAGTGATAGAGGTTGATCGCCGTCGAGTAGCGTCGCCTTGGCAAAGAGAGTTCATAGAGGAACGGTCGTTCGATCCGTCTTACCGGCCATCCATGGCTACTATCACTCATCGCGGTTCGGAGGGCAGAACCGTAACTCACAGAGCTACCGCTGGACTCCAGAGAGAGAATGAAGCTCTCCGATCCGCAGCTCGGACGGTTGATTCACCATTCACCGACGAGATCTTGAATGCCCCGCATCCAAGGAAGTTTGCTATGCCAGTCTTTATTCTGTTTGACGGAACAACCGATCCGATCGATCATGTGTACCATATCCAGTTGAAAATGGCCCTGAATACGGAAAACGACTCTTTAATGTGCAAATGTTTCCCTACAAGCCTGGCCGGACCGGCGCTCAGCTGGTTCAAAAACTTGCCTAGGAGCTCCATTGGTAGCTTCAGAAACCTGTGCGATCGGTTCATAAGCCAGTACTATGGGAACAAGCGCCCGCCGAAGGACATCTCGAGTCTATTCACGATGAGGCAGCACAAAGATGAACGTCTCCAGGCTTTTCTTACCAGGTTTAATCTCACTAAGAGTATGGTGATCGAATGCCACCCTTCTACAGCAGTTCAAGCCTTCAAGTTAGCCATGACACGTGGAACTCCGTTTCACACCAGTCTGGTAGTGAACACGCCGACTACTATGGATGAACTCAATGAAAGAGCCGATGGCTTTGTGCGCCTAGAAGAAGAGGAGGCAGCTAATGCTTGGACAGCGTCGCTCGTGTCGACCGAGGAAAAGTCCAAGGCAAAGATCAGGCAGAAGCAGGCTCAGCCGCAACGTCAGACCTCTTGGAAGGCAGAAAAAAGGTCCAGGGAGGAAGAGCTGATTACTCCGCTGAAGGTCACTCTGGCGAGGCTGTATCAGGAGAACAAAGATAAGTTTCATCCACCACTGCCAATTAGGCAACCCCTCAAACAGAGGGATCAAACTAAACATTGTGCTTTCCATTCCGATTTCGGTCATCAAACTAATGAATGCAGGAACCTGAGGAGGCAGGTGGAGATGTTGATAGCTAGAGGGGAGTTCGCGAGTTATGTTCAAGGCTCGGCGATAGAGCAGAATCGACCAGTGGAACAAATAAAAAGGAGTCATAAACAAAGCTCCCACAATTCACAACCAGTTCGTATAATCAATGCTATCCATGGTCGACCCGAGCCTAGTGAAGAGTCAGATGAGTTACTCCGGGCGCGCCTGCGGCAGGCGCAGATGAAGAAAAGGGTCAGCAGTGTGAATACTCTACACCAGTAGAGCCCGTCGATGCAGATAAAGTTCGACTGGACAGACCTGCAGCGTGTTCAACTGCCCCATGAAGACCCGTTGGTAGTCAGTTTAACAGTGGCGGACTGCTTGGTGCGCAGAGTTCTGATCGATCCTGGGAGCAGTGCGAATGTCATGCCGAGGGACACATTTGATAGGCTCGAGATTAAACCAGAGAGGCTCAAGCCCACTGGAAATCCCTTGTTAGGGTTCGATGGGAAGAGGGTGGAGCCCGTCGGGATGGTGGAAGTGGAAGTTCAAGCTGCAGAACGAGCTCTTATGGAAACTTTTGTGGTTGTAGAAATTCACCCCTCGTATAATCTCCTGATGGGAAGAGGATGGATTCACAGAGTCCAAGGTGTACCCTCAACTCTGCATCAGGTCATGAGGTGCCTCGGACCCGATGGAGACAAAGTGATAGACATTCGGGGGGATCAGGTCGCAGCCAAAGAGTGTTATTCCGTCACACTAAAGCATGCTGGGAAAGGGAAGGCGCCCGTTCGTTCGGCAAGACCCAGATAGCAATTACAGGAACCTCCGCTCGAGCAGAACAGGGTGGAGGAGTCAGTCGACTTGACCGGGGAGCCCCTTCTGGATGTGCAGATCGATCAGTCCAGGCCAGAACGAACTACCAGAGTAGGTATAAGACTGACCAGAGAAGAGCAGCAAGAGCTTGTGGATTTCTTGTCCCACAATGCCGACGTATTTGCATGGAGTCACCTAGACATGCCTGGAATTAGTCCCTCCGTATCCTGTCATTCCCTGAATGTCAATCCCAATTTCAAACCAGTGAAACAGAAGCAGCGAAGATTTGCTCCAGAACGTAATCAAATCATAGCGGAAGAGGTCGATAGGCTGCTTGATGCGGGATTTATCAGAGAAGTGCACTACCCTGATTGGTTGTCCAACGTCGTTGTCGTGCAGAAGAAGAATGGGAAATGGCGAGTATACATTGATTTCACCAATTTAAACAAAGCCTGTCCGAAGGACAGCTTCCCACTGCCTAAGATTGATCAAATGGTGGATGCCACCACCGGGTATGAGCGTTTAACCTTTCTGGACGCTTATTCAGGTTATAATCAGATCCCTATGGACCCCGCAGATGAAGAAAAAACTTCTTTTGTCACCGAGCGAGGAACATACTGCTACAAAGTTATGCCTTTCGGACTAAAGAATGCGGGAGCAACTTATCAAAGACTTGTTAGCAAAATTTTTAAGAATCAAATGGGTAAGATTGTGGAAGCCTATATTGATGATATGGTGGTAAAGAGTAGGAAGAAGGATGATCATCTGAAGCATCTGCAAGATGTATTTGATGTACTGAAGCGATATGGGATGAGGCTCAATCCAACCAAGTGCTCGTTCGGTGTGAGTTCCGGAAGTTAGCCCCGCTCAAGCAGAGGCTTTGATTAAGAATGCCGAGCCAAAGACGATCAGAGAGGTGCAAGCCCTCACAGGACGAATAGCTGCATTAAGTCGATTTATTTCAAAATTGTCAGATCACTGCAAACCGTTCTTTGACACGATTCGGAGCCATGGAAGGCAGGTCTGGGGGGATGAGCAACGACAAGCATTGACTCATTTGAAGGAATATATGC